GTACACACATGTTAACATGGGTGAAAAGGCAGGCAATATAAACAAGAGCAAGCTTAGCAGAGGAAAAATGAATGTAGCTGTTTTCATGAGTGTTGATAGGGAGTCACAGGAAGGAGTACAAGAGTTAAACTGAACATAGGTAAATACTGTTCATTATAGGTACATGGAGTGGATTGCAATCATTTTAATAAAGCAAAATGTATTACTTGTTGAATATAAACTTAATTATCTTCTCTGTAAACCTCTCCTCAACTCACAATAAAAAGTTTTTAAAAAACAAAACAAAACATGTTTCAACATGTTTCTACGATCAGTGGATGGCTACAGACTAGTTTTCTCAGTAATTCTCTTCATCTCATTAGGATGCCTTAATAAAAACAGAGATGCTTTTTGTTTCATGGAAAAAAAACATTTCTGAGGTCAGGGATAATGCCAACTTTTAAATAAAACTTAAGTACACATCTGCTCAAATCACTGAAACTTTACAATACGTTTATGAGAATGCTGCCTCATGTGAAATAAAACTTCTTCTATTGGTACAGTGGTTTGAGTAAGATTGGGAAGACTTCGAAGATGAGCCAAGAGAGGAAAGACCATCAACTTCAACGAAGGAAGAAACTAGCCGAAATCCAGAAGCTTGTGGTAGAATACCGTGGAATTATCATTGATGCTATAACTACTGAAGGTGGGATCTTACATGGTTTGGCATTTTCAATTTTAAGGGACCATCTTGACCTCAGCAAACTTTAGACTCGATAGTTGCCAAAAGCTTCAATGCAAAATCAGCTAGCTAGAAGAGCTGATCTTTCCATTAGCCTTGTAAGCAAGATAGAAGAAGCTAATAAAGATGATTTTATGTAATGAGGATAAGTCTTGGATTTACCAACAAATCCTGAGAACAGGATCCAATCAAAACAGTGGTTTCTGAGGAAATCTGTCATTATTGCTGTTAAGTGCCATCGAGTCAGTTTTGATTCATAGCAACCCTGTATAGTGTTACTGCTGTTGTTAAGTGCTGTCTAGTCAGTTCCAAATTAGAGCGACCCTTTACAGG